CCGCATGCGCTCTGCCGTGGACTCCCCCATGTAGACTTTGGTGCTTCTGGCGAATCTGCCAAGGCCGTGCCTAACATGCATTAATGTTGTTGGATAAAATCCCTGCTGTCGGGGTCATTACTTGAAGACTACCCCAACAGGATCTGCCCAGATGCACGTCGCGTGGGAAATGCAAGTAGGATGCAGATAGGTATACTGTGGTGATTAAGCACGTAGTTATCGTCCATTGGTGCACACTTCGTGTGATGAGGTTGGGTAGGAATTGCCGCAGCTGTTGGTTTGCACTTGGCGCCCGACCGCAGGTGGAATGAAAGTCCTTTCGAAGTGCGTCGGCGGCGCTCCAGGGGAGGGGCAACGCAGAGGGGGCCAGCCTGCTCAGAAGGCGGCGTGGCCTCGCAGAAGCCGCCATCTGCGAAGCCCTCTGAGAAGGCTCAGGATGCTTCTGAGAGGGCGCGAGGGCTTCTGATAAGCCCCGCCGTCTTCTAAGAAGCCCTCTGAGAAGAATGCTTCTGAGAAGGCGCGAGGGCTTCTGAGAAGCCCCGCCGCCTTCTAAGAAGGCTGGTCACCTATGCCTCCCCCCTGGGCTCGCCGCCGAGTTCGGGTGGGACGCTCCATGGAGTCTCTCCCTCCTGAGCGCCCTAAGTTCACGACTGTCCATTTGACTATATGCTCATCGAGTTCCCTTCTCAGATCCAGCTTGACTTGGCATTGTTTCTGCATGGGGAGGCGGAGGGGGAGGAGGGGGAGGAGGAGAGAGGCGCTGCAGGCCGTCGCCTGCCCAGGCGTTGCCCAGATCTTGTCCGGGTCGATGTCCTTGATCAGCTTCTCGATGTCGAAGTCGGCGGCCTTCGGGTTCGCCTTGTACTGGCCACCCGACAGGGACTCGAACATGCCCCCGGCCCGCTGGCCGAGCTGCTCCAGCGCCCGGTACTTGGGGTCCAGCCGCGTGTGCAGAAGGTAGAAGAGGGCGACATCCGAGAAGGAGTTGCAATTCTTCCGGAGGAGGTCGTACGTGCCAGCCTGGAAGTGTCTGTCCTAGAATAAGAATGAACTGAATAATAAACATACGCCTTTGGAGGCCCGCTCGGATTTCTTGGATCGGCGCTGGACTCCCCGTCCCCCTGGTGCGCGAACCGCGCCAGCGGCGCGCGCCTGACGCGCCGCCAAAGGGCCCAGCGCAGATCCAAGAAATCCGCAAGGACCTCCGAAACCATATGTTCATGCAACGTTTCTTCATTCGATGTCCAGCGTGGATCTCACCTGGCTGCCGGTGTACACCGACATCCCCATGTCGAAGACCTGGGGCACGCTGTCCGGGTTCTGCGGGTTCTTGTGACTCGCCAGCCCGGACGAGCTGCTGACGCCGCCGTCGCTGAAGAAGAACTCCTCCCCGTTTACGACCACGGAGGAGTGGTAGGCCTTGCCACGGACCAGATGTGACCCAGAGGGTACGGGGGCTGGGGGCCCAAGGCTCTTCCCCCCGGAGCCTCGCCTCTTTGTGCTGCCTCCCGACAAGACAGGGAAGGCCAAAAAGAGACGAAGACGCCTCCTCCTCCTCCCTTTCCTCCACCTCCCTTTCCTCCTTCCTCCTCCTCCTCCCTCCTCCTCAGGACGCCTCTGAGCCAAAATCCTCGGTCGATCGATCGCCTTCAGGGCGGCTTTTGATCCCTCACTGGCTCGACGCAGACGGGACGCCCAACGTAAGCCAGCACTATTCGATGATCCTCAGGACGTGTGTCAGCGCCAAGGTGTGTTTGCCCACTGAGGCCCTTCTCTACGACGGAGGCGATGTGATGATCGAGCGTTTGGGTTGAACGGGGTGAACGCACATCGGGCCAACACACGTTCTGAGGATCATCGAACTATTCGAACCTGCACTCTCTATGCTGCGGCAACAGCTACCCATCGAAGAATTCACCCAAGCGACCCGCAGGCCAACCCTCCTGACGCTGGGAAACCTTCCCGGCCGGCCACTCTGGCCAACCCCAGTTCGGAGGACCTCTTCCATGCGATAAGAAAGATCCCTGATGCACCGATCGCCTCAGGACCCATCTCCATCAAAAAGCCCGTAGGCCCGGAAACCAAACCAAGATCACAGTCATTCTAATGGCTCACGCGCCCCGCACCGGACGCGAGCGCTGACTCGCGAAACCGTTTCGCCGGTCAGCGCCCAGAGGATATGTGAGGGGCACGGATGGCCATAGAGCATACGGGTTCAAGACTTGCTGTGCTGTCCCGCCCTTTTGGTACCATCTGGCCGATGGCATCCACACTGACCCCAAGAATGTCGACGCCCCACTTTTTGAGCAGGGACCGACCGTCCCGGCATTCCTATAGTCCTACCACAGCATGTTCATAGAACCCAAACATGTTCTGAGAACCAAAACCATGTTCCTAGAACATGAACCCGACGTGTCAAAACGAGACCGTCCCAGCCAGGAATGTTCTCAGAACATTTCGTGAAATCCACAGAAAAAGCTTCTTAGAACATTGTCTGGCAGGGCTATAGGCGAGCCAGGACGCTTCGCCACTGCTCGAAGACTCCTTAGGAATCTTCGAGCAGTGGCGTACCTACCCCACCTACCCTCCGCCGGGCTGCCGCGCCGGCGAGCCCGCCCGCCCGCCCGCCCGCCGCCGGCCTCCCGCCCGCCTCCCGCCGGCCCCCCCCCCCGAGGGCGGAGGCGCGCCGCAGGCGAGGCCCCTCCTCTGGCGCGCCGCGCAGCGGACTCCACGAAACCCCTGCGGCAGGCTTGATGGGACTGATTTCCACCACCACTACCATATGTTGGAGAAGGAGGAGGAGGAGGAGAAAGAAGAGGAGGAGGAGGACCTCTCCCTCCAACCTATGGTAGTGGTGGTGGAAACCAAGCCCATCAAGGCTCGCGTCGGGCTCGCGCAGCCTCGAGCCAGCGGCGGCTCCTCCGTGGCCCGGGTCTCTTCCCGTGCAGGCCGATGCCGGGCCGCTGGCGGCGCGCACCACCCGGGAGCGCCCGCGGCGCGGTCTCGCCGGCGCGTCGACGCGGCGCGGACCCGCTGAGGGCGCCCTGCCCGGCGAGGCACCCTTTTGAGGGGCCAGGGGAGAGCTTCCGAAAAGAAGCTTCTGGCGAGCTCGCGGGCCCGCGTAGGGGGAAACGCTCGGACAGGGTGAAGGACCCATCCATCGCGTCTATACTTCACGTGTGCATATAGTTACATCCCTGAGGCGCCCGAGACAGCCATGAGACCTCTAAGAAACCAGGGGAGGTCAAAACTAAACACCTCCTGAGATAAAGGGGTCCCTCAAAATCGCCAGCTTCCCAACGGATGGAAAGGGTCCTCCGGGGCAGATGAAAACCTCAAGCAGCCCGCGCCGATCTGAATCTGAAACCCTCTCAGCTCTCTGCAACCCTCTCGGCTCTCTGCGAGCTGGTCGCCGTCCACTCCCTGCGAGGAGGGCTCCGGCGGAAGGGCAGGCCTCGCCAAGGCCATGCTCGGCGCGCGGCCCGGCGTTTTTGGCGCGCGTGCTGGCGCCGACGGGGGGAGCCCGAGAGCAGGCCGGAGAGGAAGGGAGGGTGGGGCAGGCGACGCGCAACAGAAAGGGTGACGGCAGATGGTTGGATGGTTCTCGGCCTCGTTGGGCGTTGCGTAATGGGGGGGTCATAAATGGGGGGTTGGTGAGGGTGGTCCGAAAAGGTACCCAAACGGTACCTAAACGAGCCCCCTGGGGGTCCGGAGGGGCCCGAAAGGGGCACGAAAGGGGACCGTTTCTGACCCCCCCATTTATGACCCCCCCATGAAGCCACGCCCAACCTCGGGGAGCCGTCCTGGCGCCGGGGCCGTCTGAAGACACCTCATGATAGAGCCGGCAGTGGCGAAAGTTCGGCGGCAGCTCCTGGGCCAAATGGGAGCCCATACCATCTTGTTGGCTCTTGCGAATCGACGCCAGCCGACGCTGATCGACGCTTCTCGACCCTAAACCGACGCTGATTGGCGCCAAGTCGGCTCTTTCTCATCGATTACAACCTTGCCATCGCTCGGACGTCCATTCCCCTGGCATTTTTCGGTTCTGTGTGTGTTTTTTTGTTGCAAGATGATCCAGGATGCTCCTACTCCCGAAAACCTCGAGCGTCGACTCTCGAGCGTGCCCCCCGTCGACGGCCCTGAGCGCCGCCAGCAGTCGTCGGCGGCGAGCGAGGGTCTCAGAAGAAGGCGGGGCTGTTCAGAAGGCTTCAGGCATTCTGAGAAGCGTTCTGTGATCTTCGGGGAAGGCTTGGAAAACTTCTGAGAAGGCCTGGGGACTTCCGCGCCTTCTCAGAAGGCCCGCCCCGTCTCACTTTCTCCCCGGGCTCGCCGCCGAAATCTGGGGAGGAGGAATGGATATAGAGATCTCCTAGATGGGGTCCGAGGTCCGAGCAGATGGGGTCGGAGGAATGCAGCGCACCGCCGATGCATCCGCGATGCATCGGCGATCCCAACAATCCGCGCGGACCTCCGAGACATTATGATTATGCCACAACTGCTCCTCAAAACTATGCCTCCCGATGGGGTCGGAGTAGATGGGGTCAGAGGAGCGCGCAGCATCGCCGATGCATCAGCGATGCGGCTCCACGCGCCAAACCAAGAAAGCCGCGCGGACCGCTGGGACATTATGTTTATGCCGTGTAGACTTCTTCGGGTCGTGGCCCTAAGCGCCGGCAACAGCCAGAGGAGGACGAGTGGAGGCCGATGCTTCCCTCCCAGAGCCAGTCCCCCCCAATGATCTCCGCCTTCGGCGGCCGTGCGAGGCGATCTGGGCACCCCAGGACGCCTCTCGGCGAGGCGCAGCTGGCGGAGAGCACCCCGAGGCCCGCCGAGTAGGGCTGGACCTAAACTTCATTGTTCGTTGTGTTGTCGATTTGTTGTTCGTTTCGCTCTACCTGTTTTCCTGTGCCTCCCTCCCAAAACGGAAAAAAGCACAGCCGAAGTCCAGCAAAACAGCGTTTAGGTCCAGCCCTGCCGCCGAGAGCCGACGAAAACGGACCAAGACCTCCAACTTCGAGCCTCGAACGCCCGCCTCGAACCGAGCTGCCGCTGCCCCCGAGCGCCGCCCGCAGCCCGAGGAGGGGGAGACCCCCTCTCTCGGCCCCTCGACCTGGACCTCTGGCGACTCGATCCTCGAGTCTCGGCGATTCTGGGTGACTCTCGATCCTCCGAAGCTTCGACTCTCGAACGTCCAGGCCGAACGGAACTGTCAGTGCCCCCGAGCGCCGCCGACAGCCTGAGGAAGAGGAGGAGGAGGCTTCTGTGGCAACTCCTGCAAGCCTCCCATGTCGTCTTGCTGGCTCTGGCGAATCGACGCTGACCGACGCGAGCTGACGCTGAATCGACGCTGGTCGACGCTAGATCGGCGCTAAATCGGCGCCTTCTCAGCGATTACCGCACGCTAGGGACGGAATTGCGAGGACACGCGAGGTTCCCATGATTTGCGAGCGAAAGCATGCGGAGGAAAAGGCCCCCGCCCATTTGGGCGACGGAGGAAAAACCGGCCTCACGCGAGCTGGTATAACAACCTTACGCCGCGGCTTACGCGGGCTGCCAACGCGGCACGCCACATCGGAAGCGAAGGCGCTTCCGCGCGACCCTACGGCAGGTTCGTGTCGTGCCGACTTCGACGTTGGTTTTTTGACACCGCGGGGATCTATCAACCTTGAAAGATCGGCCATTTCCGAAACATCAGACCGTTCAACATCGACCGATTCTGGGTCGCCAGCGGCCTTCAACGTTGAACGCTGGCCGCGGGGTCGCCAACGGGCGACACGACGCGAACCTGCCGTAGCGACCTTACGCGGAGGCTTGCACGGGCCGCCAGCGCGGCACGCCACAGCGGAAGCGAAGGCGCTTGCGCGCGACCTTGCGCGGGCAGCCCACGCGCCAACGTCGGCGCACGGCCCCGTCCGCCTGCCTATCAGTCTACCCCAACCTGACCCAGTACGGGTTCTGCAGGTGCCTGTTGCCGATGTTCCCCGACCCCCCCCCACTGGAAATCGAAGGCAAGTTTGGGCCTTCGGGTTGGGTTGGGGTGGTTTGGTGGGTGGTGACCGTCGTCTTCCGTCGCTCCTGTCGACTACGCGCAAGAGTGACCCTGGGTAAGAGTGACCTTTGGTGCGCGGCTTTTGGGGCGCCGCGGGGGGACCAACCCCAAGCGCGGAAGCCGCTACCATCGCATCGACTTCTGCGATCGGGGGGACCCCTTTGAGTCGGCACCAAAGGTCACTCCGGCGAAAGGTCACTCGTACGTGTACACCCTGCGAAATGCTTTAGAAATCATGGGTTAAGAAATTCATAGTCTCAGAAATTGACTAGAAACCCAGAATGTCTATTCAAATCTTAGGATTCACCTTGAAACATTGAGAGTAATCGAGACTCTGGCCGAAAACTTGGGTTTTCTTAAGCATCGCCTAGAGTGTAGTCGACTTTGGCCCCCGCAGCGGCGCGCCGTGGCCCCCGGCACGCCGCCGAGCACGGACACCGCCAGCTGGACCTTGTTCTTCCCCTCGGGCCGCGCAGGCGCCGCGCCTGGGGCGAAGGGTCAGGTCGGGCATGTTCTCCTATCGGTGGATGGTGGATGATTCCTTTAGTTTTATATATATATATATATATATATATATATATATATATATATGCATATACATATACATAGACAGTCAGACATGATAAAAAAAAAAAAAAAAAAAAAAAAAAAAAAAAAAAAAAATCCCAGACTAAACTATGTTTGGCTATGCCTCCTGTAGAGAGACGTGCCCGACTGAGACGAAGGGGGTGCAAGCAGCAGCACCCGGGAGGCCCACTCCTGGAGGAGGCCCCCTTGGAAACCCCTCCCAAGAGTCCTTGGGGTCTTACTCCGTTCTGTGGGAAATCTCCCCACGTGCGAGCAAATACCCTAGTTGTCCCCCACAGCAGTGGGAATCCCCACCAGCCGGGTAGACAACCGCATATGTAATTGTCCCGTCGGTTCTAGCTTCACACCCAGCACCGAATCCGATTCCAAACCGAAAGAGGGCTTCTGGTGCCCTGCCATGCCTCCCCCCACCTCCTCCCGTTGTGATAAGAGTCCCAGTGAGATGTTTCTGGCCGCTTTCGGGCCTTGCCAGGCCCAAGGACCTTCGAACGAAAGCGACTCGGGATGAGAAGCTAGTATCGGGGAAGAGGTCCAGAACTCTGGAACCCAGTCTGCGAAAAACCGGCATCGGAGCTCTGGGTCCGACCTCGCGACTTTGTCAACGCGTGGGGCTGCGGGGGGGGGGTCTGGATCACCGAACTTCGCGCATCGCGCCACGCGGTGCGCGACGCGCGGTCGTCCTCGCGCTGTCGTGCCCTCGCGCTGGAGAAGGGCCGCCGCTCTGGCCCAGACCGCGACGCGCTATGTGCGGTCATCTTCGCGCCTCTCCTCCTGCTCCTCCGACCTCCTCCTCCTCCCCCTCCTCCTCCTCCTCCTCCTCCTCCTCCTCCTCCTCCTACTCCGTCGTCCATCTGTCCGTTCCCATTCACCTCCAACTCCTGCTACTCCTGCGCCTTCTGTTCCTCCGCCTCCTCCACCTTACGCAAGGAAACGCCGCGAAAGCTGCGGTCAAGCCGCTTCTGGCATCACGCACAAGGGGGGCGACGGGCGAGGGGGGCGCCGCTTCCGAGAGGCCGGGAGGCGAGGCGAGCCGAACGCGCGACGTCGGTCTGGCGGGACCGGGGAGGGGCGGGGGGGGGCGGGGCCCTCGGAAGACGTCTTGGGAACAGAAATCGGAATCGAATCATGGAATTTGACACCGGAAACGGGGATTTGAGGTTGCTTGCCGTTGTCGCCGTCCGTGTGTTCCACATGTGCAACGCCGATGTGAATGTAATATCTGCATCGGGAGTCGGAGTCGGAGAAACGATCGCATGAGTCGGGAAGAGAGGCGCATGAATCGGAAAGGCCAGGGGGGTCATCCTACAAGCCCTCTCGGCTTTCAACAAGCCCTCTCAGAAGCATCCAAGCCCTGCAGAGAAGGCCCTGCCTTCTAAGGAGCCCCCCGACTTCTCAGAAGCACCCCCTTGCGCGCGCCGCCAATACGACCAGAACAACCCCAAAGCGCCTGGATGCACAATGAGCGCTCGAGGAACAACCATGGATTCGTGGATGCCATGACAATGGACACCATAACAATCCTATCTTTGAGTTAAAGATGTGTTAAAGTGTAAAACAAATGTTTAAACAGTTTGTTTTAAACATGTGTTTACATGTTTAAAAAAATTAAACACATGTTTTAGACATCTGGAAAGTGTTTAGCAACGTGCTTCCTCTACATTGATCGTCGCCCACAAACATGGATGGACCCAGTGCATAAAACAGCGAAAACAGCGAGCCCCTTCCGAACCCGACCTGCTCGTGCCTCTTTGCGGTCGACGCGCGGGAGGAAAACGTTTCCGCTCGAGCGAAACATGTCGACGGGCGAACGAAGATTTTTCCCGCGGACCCGGAAAGTCCACAGACCGAGCGACGAAAGTATTTCGAGCGAGAGGGGAAGTGTTCTCCGTCAAGCGAGGAAATTCAAGGATGCTGGAATAGGAAATGCTTGTTGGAAACCTCCTGACAGCTCGGATTACTGAACACCTTCGATCGAGCCCTCATGCCGCCGAAACCCGAACGCCCGTGAGAAAAACAACGAACCCTGTAAACGCAATCGTTTCTCTAGAACCCCTCTCCAGCCTTCGAAACTCCTTCTTCCGATACACAACAACTACATCAATATGCAAAGCGAGCGCCTGAATAGCACGCGCTTGCCCTAATGTTGAAAACTCCCCCATTTCGGAGAGGCTTTCCGCCACCCCATTTGACCTAACAGCGAAGACTGATAGGTTTCCAGTGGGCTCAAAAGAGAGCATCATGACGCCCCAGGGGGGTCTGGGCGGGATCCGGACGGGTGCCGGGGACTCCTTTTTTAGCCAACCGTAACGCACTTTGTGGCCTTCGAGTTCCCAGAACTCCATTCCTGGGCATGATTTTGAATGCCCGGATCCAACTGTAGGCCACTTCGTGTTCTTCGAGTTCCCAGAACTCCATTCCCGGGCCACATTTTGAATGCTGAGGCAGGCTGATGTTGAGGCTGAGGCAGGCTGAGGCTGAGGCTGAGGCTGAGGCCGAGGCTGAAGGCAGACTGAGGCTGAGGCTGAACAGGCTGAGGCTGAGGCTGAGGCAGGCTGAGGCTGAGGCTGAGGCTGAGGAGGCTGATGAGGCAGGCTGCAGGCTGAGGCTGAGGCTGAGGCAGGCTGAGGCTGAGGCAGGCTGAGGCTGAGGCCGAGGCTGAAGGCAGACTGAGGCTGAGGCTGAAGCAGGCTGAGGCTGAGGCTGAGGCAGGCTGAGGCTGAGGCTGAGGCAGGCTGATGCTGAGGCAGGCTGAGGCTGAGGCTGAGGCTGATGCAGGCTGAGGCTGAGGCAGGCTGAGGCTGAGGCCGAGGCTGAAGGCAGACTGAGGCTGAGGCTGAAGCAGGCTGAGGCTGAGGCTGAGGCAGGCTGAGGCTGAGGCAGGCTGAGGCTGAGGCTGAGGCAGGCTGAGGCTGAGGCTGAGGCTGATGCAGGCTGAGGCTGAGGCAGGCTGAGGCTGAGGCCGAGGCTGAAGGCAGACTGAGGCTGAGGCTGAAGCAGGCTGAGGCTGAGGCTGAGGCTGAGGCTGAGGCTGAGGCTGAGGCTGAGGCTGAGGCTGAGGCTGAGGCTGAGGCTGAGGCTGAGGCTGAGGCTGAGGCTGATGCAGGCTGAGGCTGAGGCAGGCTGAGGCTGAGGCCGAGGCTGAAGGCAGACTGAGGCTGAGGCTGAAGCAGGCTGAGGCTGAGGCTGAGGCAGGCTGAGGCTGAGGCTGAGGCAGGCTGATGCTGAGGCAGGCTGAGGCTGAGGCTGAGGCTGATGCAGGCTGAGGCTGAGGCAGGCTGAGGCTGAGGCCGAGGCTGAAGGCAGACTGAGGCTGAGGCTGAAGCAGGCTGAGGCTGAGGCAGGCTGAGGCTGAGGCTGAGGCAGGCTGATGCTGAGGCAGGCTGAGGCTGAGGCTGAGGCTGATGCAGGCTGAGGCTGAGGCAGGCTGAGGCTGAGGCCGAGGCTGAAGGCAGACTGAGGCTGAGGCTGAAGCAGGCTGAGGCTGAGGCTGAGGCAGGCTGAGGCTGAGGCAGGCTGAGGCTGAGGCTGAGGCAGGCTGAGGCTGAGGCTGTGACTGCGACTGCCGTTGCCACTGCGACTGTCATCGCGAATGCGACTAGGGCTGCGAGAACAACATAATTCTACAACTGGATTATCATCTGAATCTCAAGGGGAATGCTTCCAGATATGCTCCTACACATCGCTGTTAGGTTGCTTTGCCGGGATAAGTTCCAATGTTATGGCAACAGCCGTTCATCGGGCGAACGCTACGTCAAAAAAACGACCTATCACAGGATTACTGGTAGCGCGCGCAAGCAAACATAGCGGCAAGGATGCGACGCCCTTTGGCGCCAGAGCATACGCCTCAAAATTGGTTTCGGATGCGCGGCGCAAGCGTGGACGCAAGGGTGCCGTGGAGAGTGCCACTCTATCGTACCACGCGCTTACAGCAAACAGCGAAACTATTCAATCCGCTGCGCCAACCAATCCGCTGATGCACAACAAACGCGATCGGGCTTTCCGCCTCCAGGCTTCAACGACCGCCTGGAGCCCTGATGTCGTCGCTGCTGCCGAAGAACGAAAACCCACAAGAGGCAGCGGGCCCTGTCAACACAATCGTCTCTCCGAGGAGGAGGAGGAGGAGGAGGAGGAGGAGGACAGAGCCCCATTGGAAAACCACTCTTCCGATGCACACCCGAGCTGAAGATCAAGGCCAAGCGAGCACCTGAATAACACACGCTTGCCCTGATGTTGAAAAGCGCCCGTTTACCAAAAAGCCCTCGGCCACCCCGGATGTACGGTTTTACGGCCGTTGATCGGCCGAAAGCTACACCAAAAAACAAACACATGATTACAAGAGCCCTCGAGCGAGGAAACTTACCGATGCTGGAATAGGGAGCTCCTGGTGGAAGCCAAACACCGCGGAACGAAACCCGAACGCCCGTGAGAAACAACCAGCCCTGTAAACGCAATCGTTTCTCTAGACTCCAGCCCCCTCTCCAGCCTTCGAAACTCCCTCTTCCGATACACAACGACTACATGATAATGCAAAGCGAGCACATGAATAACACGCGCCTGGTCTAATGTTGAACCTCCCTTTTCCGAAGAATTCTCGGCCAGCCTCGGTTTTCAGCTTTAGGGCAGTAGCCGTTGATCGTACGAGCGCTACGCCAAAGAAAGACCCATCGCACAATTACAAGTAGCGCGCAAAAAAATCAGTGGCAAGGATGCCTGGCGCTTTGGCGCCAGAGCGTACGCCTCAGAATTGCCTTCGGATGCACTGAGCAAGCGAGGACGCAAAGGTACCGCTGAGAATGCCACTCAACCAAACCACACGAGCTTACAAGAAACAATAGACGAATCCGCTGGCCCCCTTGTGGGGCCACCAGGCTGTAGGCGCGAGGTTCGCAGTTTCCTGTACCAGTCGTAGGTTGTAGTTTCCAGTGTTACAGTTCTGCTTCTTACTGGTTACTGTAACTTGATTGACCGCTTGAGGGGGGGTGAGGCCCAAACGGGATTTTTAGCACCCCCTGGGCGCGTTGTCTGAATTGCTGGGGGGGCTCGAAATCGACACCCCTCACGCAGATCCGCGGGGTGAGGGTCCAAAAACACACAGGGGATTTGCCACATTTGTGAAATTCGGTGCCACCCCTCACGCAGATCCGCGGGGTCAGGGTCCAAAAACACATGGGATTTGCCACATTTCTGAAATTGAGTGCCACCCTCACGCAGATCAGCGGGGTCAGGGTCCACAAACACAGGAGATTTGCCACATTTCTGAAATTCGGTGCCACCCCTCACGCAGATCCGCGGGGTCAGGGTCCAAAAACACCGGGGATTTGCCACATTTCTGAAATTCGGTGCCACCCCTCACGCAGATCCGCTGGGTCAGGGTCCAAAAACACAGGGGATTTGCCACATGTCTGAAATTCGGTGCCACCCCTCACGCAAATCCGCGGGGTCAGGGTCCAAAAACACATGGATTTGCCACATTTCTGAAATTCGGTGCCACCCCTCACGCAGATCCGCGGGGTCAGGGTCCAAAAACACACGGGATTTGCCACATTTCTGAAATTCGGTGCCACCCCTCACGCAGATCCGCGGGTCAGGGTCCAAAAACACATGGGATTTGCCACATTTCTGAAATTCGGTGCCACCCCTCACGCAGATCCGCGGGGTCAGGGTCCAAAAACACAGGGATTTGCCACATTTCTGAAATTCGGTGCCACCCCTCACGCAGATCCGCGGGGTCAGGGTCCAAAAACACAAGGGATTTGCCACATTTCTGAAATTCGGTGCCACCCCTCACGCACATCCATCGCAAGGCGTGGTAACCCAAACTGCGAGTACTCCCTCGGCCCTTTAATCCCAAGGTGTGGTAACCAAGCTCGTAAACCATACACGTCTTACCAATCGCCCTGTGTGGTAACCCCTCTTGTGATCAGTTGGTTTTGCCGATTGCGAATCGGCCTCGCATGAAGTTATACTGCTGCACGACAGCGCCAAAGCCTCATGACTTAGCTCTTCCATGGCCCATTCTCCGAGAGAGGGGGCCGGCGGCAGGGGGCGAAGCCCTTACGGATAAAAGCTGCTGCCCAAACCAACCCGCTAATGCACAACAAGCGATGCACCCTTCCGCCCAACACCATCGTTTCTCCAGGCCCCCATCTGAAACCCCGCTTTCCGATGCACACCAGAGCTGAAGATAAATGCAAAACGAACACCTGAATAACACACGCCTGCCCTAATTTCGAAAAATCCCCCTTTGCCAATGGAACATCGGGCAGCCTGGGTTTTCAATCTTAGGGCAGGAGCCGTTGATCGTGGCGGCAACTACGCCAAAGAACAACCAACCACACGATTACAGTTAACTCGCATAACAAAAATGAATGGCAAGGATGCGAGCCCGTTTGGCGCCCTCCCTGGCCCACCCCTACCTCCATCCATCCCCCTCGTGGATGCGATACCACCCGCCGGAAGATCCACGAGAGACACCAACCTCACTTTTTCAAAATTGCCCGCGAAACGGCCACGCGGCCGAATTTCTGAAACGGCTTCCGGAACAAACCGAGGCGGGCAGCTGCCCTGATTTGGAAAACTCAAGCCGACTGCACCCGCCCGCCCGCAGTCTGTTCAATCAACTCACGCCCGCAACCACGCCTCACACACACACACACGCACAAACACACACACACACACACACACACACACACACATACACTCACTAGTTGTGAGGACATTGTTTCAAGCAAGCGGGAGAACTCTCTCGCGCGCGAGGAGATTTCGAACGAGGACATTTCAGGACGCTCAGACCCGCTCGGGGAAGGGGGACGCCCCGCCTCGCGGCTTGGCGGCCAGCCCTGCACCGCTCGCTCACCCCCAGGGGGGTTTGCTGGGACGCCAGGCCGCGCAGCCCACACGCCGCCCGCTGAGCCTGATGGCCTCGCGGGCGACGCTGCCCCTGCGGGGTTGGGAGCACCCAGCCGCCGAGCCCACGCAGGCAGCCAGCTCTCGGCTTTACTGGCCAGGCTCGCGAATACCGATACGATACCATGCGCGGCCCACATCATGCGCCCAGGGGGGCGCACCTTCAGGCCTGCTGAAGGTCCACCCATGCACCCCACTCGCCAACGGTTCCTTGAGCCACCGGCTACGCAACCAAAATGGATGCCCACGTACATGCCCCAACTGCCGCTTCACCCACACTCTAACTGAATGACAAGCCATTGAACTCCAGCGGCCGCTTGGAAAGATCTGGGCACCTCCGGACGCCTCTCGACGAAGCGCGGCCGAGGCTCGAAGGCCGCTGAGAGCCTACGAAAATGCCCGAAAACCTCGGGCAACGAGCCTCGAACGTCCGACCCGAGCCAAACCGTCGCTGCCCCTGACGTTAGCGCTGGCCGCCATTGCTCGTACTCAAGGCAATTCTGTCCGTAGCGTCGGCTAGATGGAGCTTTGCAGGCGTATCCAGAGCCAGGCTCGCAGACGCCTGGCCAGGTCGACCGCCTTCCCGTCAGGCTGCGCCGAGACACGCGCAGAAGCACAGCACCAGAAGCCATCATCAACAACAGCAGCATCAGAAGCATCAGCAGCAGCATCGGCATCAGCAGCAGCAGCATCCCCCTCCTCCTCCTCCTCCTCCTCCTCCTCCTCCTCCTCCTCATCATCATCATCATCATCATCATCATCACCATCATCACCATCATCATCATCATCATCATCATCATCATCATCATCAGCATCATCATCATCATCATCATCATCATCATCATCATCATCATCATCATCATCATCATCATCATCATCATCACCACCATCACCATCATCATCATCATCATCATCATCATCATCAGCATCATCATCATCACCATGATCATCATAATCATCACCACCACCACCATCATCATCATCATCAGCATCAGCATCATCATCAGCATCATCAGCATCAGCATCATCATCAACAGCATCATCAGCAGCATCATCAACACCACCATCAGCAACAGCATGCTCATCATCATCGTCATCATCATCATCGTCAGCAGCATCATTAGCATCATCATCATCATCATAATCATCATCATCATCATAATCATCATCAACAGCATCATCATCATCATCATCATCATCATCATCATCATCATTATCATCATCAGCGTCAGCAGCAGCATTAGCAGCAGCATCAGCATCAGCATCAGCATCAGCATCACCATCGTCACGTGAGCGCTGGGCACCCCCTTGCTCGTCTGCCCCGCAGCGCCGGCGTCGCCGCCCGCGCCGGGCGCGCCCTCGCTCGAGGCCTGGCCGCCCATCGCGGCGGGGCGCCGCGCGGGCCCCGAGAACGGCGGGCCGCGGGCGGCGCGGCTCCCGCGAGCCCAGGAGGGCCTCGTCGTCGCCGCCGCCGCCGACCGTCGTCACCGCCGTCGTCGCCGTCGTTCGCCGCGGTCGGCGTCGTCGGCGGCGTCGTCGTTGCCGTCGCGGTGCGGTGGTCGTCGTCGCCGCCATCGTCGTTGTCGTCGCGGTCGACGTCGTCGTGGTCGCCGTCGTCGTCGTCGTCGTGACGGTCATCTTCGGCCTCATTCCCCCCTCCTTCTTGCTCCTTACTGCATCCTGCCGTTATCCCTCCTCCTTCGGCAAACAAAGATCGCGTCTCTCCTCCTCCTCCTCCTCCTCCTCCTCCTCCTCCTCCTCCTCCTCCTCCTCCTCCTCTTTGACGTTGCTCGGACCAGGGTCGGCTGAAACCGAAGCGTCTGCGCGGCAAGATCAGCACATGAACCCAACTTAAGCACCAGAACATGTATTATGGCCCTAGAGCAACATGCATCAGCACGCAGAACATGGAAAACAACAACGTTGAGGACAGGTCAGAGGGGATAGGCCCACATGGGCATAGGGTCAACACAGCGCGTTGCGAGTAACAGAATGACAAACCTGAGAAGGCATACGATCAAGAGGAAGGAGCCGAAAAAGGGGGAGATCGAAATTGAGGTACTCCCAGCAAACACCGGGAAGCGGTCGACAGGTGGATATATACTTGGGTTGGGCAATGTTGAAGTACGCTGGGCTGGCTGTTATATGCAAGGAGAGCCTCGAGCCAGGCTGGGCTGAGGGAGAAGCGGGCTCCACCGATACTACGGGCTTTGCTTCCACGCCTCCACCATGACAAAACCCAAAATGGTTGTCCTCCCCAACTCCCCGGCTCTTCCTTCTCCCCCCCCCTCCTTCTCCCATCTTCCTCCTCCTCCTCCTCCTCCTCCTCCTCCTCCTCCTCCTCCTCCTCCTCCTCCTCCTCCTCCTCCTCCTGCTCCTCCTCCTCCTCCCCTCCCTCCCCCTCCCCCTCCCCCTCCCCCTCCTCCTCCTCCTCCTCCTCCTCCTCCTCCTCCTCCTCCTCCTCCTCCTCCTCCTCCTCCTCCTCCTCCCCCTCCTCCTCCCCCTCCTCCTGATCCCCCCTTCTCCATCCTTCCTACCGAACGCTGCTAGCCTCCTCCCCTGGCCTGTGGACCACCGGACTTTGCGCCCCGCGCCCCGCGACCCGCGACGCGCGGGCATCTCCGCGCCACCCGTACCCTCGCGCCGCCCCCTGGGAGGAGGGCAACCGGCTCTGGCCCGCACCAAAAGACGCCCAAAGAGCGACTGTCTTCGCGCCCCCACCTCGGGGGCGCGCAGACACGGATTGGCGATCCGTGGATTCTGGCGCGCGGTCGCCCAGTCCATGGATCGGGAAAGGTGCCCTCCCCAAACTGCGGGCGGTGCCGCCTCGGTCGGCGGCGGAGATCCGCGAGTTCCCCTGGAGACGGGACCCGTCGCTGATCCACGCCCCCTTGATCCATGTTTGCGATCGCCTGACCCGGGGACCCCCGCCCGAGACCTTCGACAGTCTTCCCCCGACATCGTGCAACCCCAGATTCCCAGGACTGGCGTTTCACCCCGAGCTGCTTTCTCTCTGTGGGACAGAAGCAGCACACTTCTTACGTCGGCGGCTAGGCAGAGTGACTGCGCTGGCGGAAGAGCAGAAGTCGGACCCACAAATGCGAACTCGGCTGCAATGCACGGGGGAGAGAGACGGAACGCCCAGCGACGGCAGGAGTGCACACGAGCAGAATTTCTCTGAGGTCCGCGCAGGCTCCCTGGATTGGCGCTGGACCCATCTCCCTGGCGCGCTCCGCGAGCCAGGGGGGGGCCCAGCGCCGATCCAAGAAATCCGCGCGAACCCCCGAGAGTCATGCTCATGCCGTTTAGGGCTCTTCGATGCCTGACAGCCCCGGGGTCGGCAAGGGCCCACCAGAGGGCGGGAGGCCGCAGATTCGCCAAAGACCGCCCGCCGCGCCACGCTCACGACGCGGGGGGGCCCTGGCCTCCCAGGAGGGCCCCATCCTGGCCATGCTGTTGGAGCTGCGTCCGGCCATGGCCGCGAGGGCCACCCGGTGACGGGGAACGAGAAGAGACAGGGGGCCAGTACAGGGGGGGCAGGGGGGGCCATCGGGCCCCAGATCGGTGATGAATGGGCGGCTTGGGGTCGACACCTCCCCCCCGAGCCAGTCCCACCCAATGGTCCTCGTCTATCGGGGGTGGGCAGACCCCCCTTCCGCAAAACGTGGTTTAGTGAGAACGACCTGAGGCCCAAACCTGGCGGGCGCAAGCCTGGAAAATAGCGGCCACGGCGCCCTCTCGAGAACCGAAAGCGGACAATTCACTAATCGACGTGTCACTGTTGAGGGTTCTGTCCACCCCCGAGTCTAGTTTTCGGGTCAAAACGTCTCTGACGGCCGCTCGGGACGATCTGGGCCCATCTGAACTCCTCTGGGCCAAGCGAGGCTGCTGGTGAACACCCCGAGGCTGGAAAGCCGCCGCGAGCCGCCGAAGATGTAGGAAAACTTCCAAACGTCTGGCCCGAACTTGACGCCTGCAGCTGCGGGCGGGCTTCTCCCTGGTAGGCTGACGTCACCCCGGCCAACCGCCCGGAGGGAGGATGGAAAAATACTCCCAGGCTGCGAGGATGGAACCTAAGAAACTCGTGAACGTGCGGAGGTCTGCGCGCACCTCCGAAGGCTTCTGCCCATGCCGTGGTTTCCTTCTCTTCGAGTTGCACGAGAAGGCAGACGAGGGGAGCGACCGGACGGCAAAGACGACAGAGGGATGCAGGGGTTGAGGGGCAACGATGGGGGGAGACTGGCATAGGGCATCGGGGGGGGGGAACATCCACCTGGAATCCTCGATACATCTCCGATAGATCGGCGACAGGCACCCGATAGGGAATCCGCACGCTCCTGGGCGGGGATGGGCTATCGGGCCCCTATCGGGCCCCAATCGGCGATGGATAGACGATTGGGGGGTCGATGCGTCCCCCCCTAGGCCTATCACCCCTAACGCTGCCCCTTGTTTTTCGGGTCCTGACTCAGGTCCCAGGCGGCCGTCTGGGACGATGCCGGCAAACCCAGAGCGCTCTCCGCGAGGCGCCGCCGCTGGAGAGCCTTCCGAGGCTGGAGAGCTGCTGAGATCCTGCGAAAACGCCCGAAACCTCGGACTTCGAACCTCGGACCTGCAAACTTCACACCCACTCGAACCTCGAACCTCGACCCTCGAACCTCGATCCTCGAACCTCGAACCTCGAACCTCAAACCTCGAACCTCGAACTCGAACCTCGAACATTCGAACCTTGAACCTGCACCCCTATCCCCTCTGGAGCCCATCCCCCCTCAATGCTCCCCTGTGCCTATCCCCCCCTTCCACTGCCCCAGAAGATCCGGCTCCTTGTCCTCGCCGCCCCTCCGCCGGTCGCGGCGATCGTCGCGATCGTCGCGCTCGTCTCCAGACACGTTGGGGGCGAAGCGGTCATAGCCTGGCCCGGGTCTGGGGGGGGGCAGGGCACTGAGCGTGGACGAGGACGAAGACGCGCGAGGCGAGGAACAGGGAGGGCGAATCACACCCTGCGCGCACACGCAGCGCCGGAGGCCCCGTCGCGCGCCGTGGCCCGCGCCCGCCGCTGCGGCGCCCAGGCACCCGCCCTGGGGCCTGGGCGCGGACGCAGGCGCTGCCAGCCGCCAGGGGCGGCCCAAGCCCAGGGCGGCCCCGGGGTTTCCAGGGAGGCCCGGGTGGACCCGTGCATCTCGGCTCGGGATGCCCTTGGACCCATGCATCTCGACTCTGGGGGCCCTCGGAGATCCGCCACGGGGCCCCGAGGAGGCTCCTAGGGAAGCCTCAGGAGGTCCCCTGAAGGTCCCAAGAGGTCCCAAGAGGCTCCCAAGACGCCCCCAAGAGGCCCGCGAGAGGCCCCAAGAGGCCCCCCCAGGGGCACCCAAGACGCCCCAAGAGGCCTCGGCCAGAAGGCCAGACTCATGGGTTGTACTGAGGCTTTGGCCACATGTTGGCCTCGGCCTCCTGGGGGCGGGGTGGTGATCCCACCAGCCCTGTGGGCGTGAGTGGTTTAGAGCGCTTCCTCTTCCAACCCCCCTTCTTCCCCTTCGGGGATGGGTTTACCCCTCCCCCTACCACCTCTCCCTGCTTCTGGAAGAGGGGAGGGGGGGGACGGCGAGGGGTTGGAGCGTCCAAAACGGCCTCACCGAGAAGGCGGCAAACATCACTGACTGTGCTAGAAGGTGTTGGCCACGCCTTGGCCTCCTGGGGGAGCGGGCGCTCCTTTCGCGCGGCCCCACCTTTGATCGACCTCCTCCGAGATGGCGAGCCTCCCAGGTGCCCCAAGAGGGCCCCAGCGGGCGCCCAGGAGGCCCAAGGGGCCCCCAAGATGCCCCTTCAGATGCCTCCAAGAAGGCCCTAAAAACTCCCAGGAGACCCCCAAGAAGACCGAAGAGGCCCTCCTGGGGCACCCAAGACGCTTCAAAAGGCCACCAGGACCGCCACAAGGCCCTCTAGAGGCTCCGGGAGGCCTACAAGAAGCTCTCAAGAGGCCCCAGAAGAAATTCCGAGAGACATCCAAGAAGCCTCTGGCCTTTCTGCTCGCCCTCCTCCTCCTCCTCCTCCTCCTCCTCCTCCTCCTCCTCCTCCTCCTGGTTATTCTCGTCCTCCTCCTCCTCCTCCTCCTCCTCCTCCTCCTCCTCCTCCTCCTCCTCCTCCTCCTCACCGTAGCCATTTTGGCTCAAGGCATTTCGTTCCCATACCGCTCGTCCGAGGCCACGCCCCTGTCAGCTTCGGGCTCATTGTGTTAGCCTTCTCTCGAGCCTGTCCGCCCAGGCTCGGGACGCGTGCTCCCGCCCGTCTGCCCAGGCTGCTTCTATTGCACTTTGATAGGGGGCCACATGCGAACCCTACCCCTACCCCCCACGATTTCTGAGGGGGAGGGTGGGGTTCACTTCGCTCGGGAGCTCCCAGGCGAAGTGAACCCCACCCTCCCCCTCAGAAATCGTGGGGGGTAGGGATAGGGTTCGCATGT